GGGGGGGGGGGGGGGGGGGGGGGGGGAGGGGGGCGAGGAAAGCACTTCGATTATTTTTGTCTGGACATTATTTATTATAACTAGGTAATGGTTAATCACAGCATTCCTGAGATACTGTTATGGCTTCAGGGTGTTTGAGTAAACAATTATTCTTACCGTAAACTTCTGACACCAATGTAGCTCCTGACATTCAGTTAAACTTTATTGTGTTATTTTTTCTTCTCATTGACTCTTGGCTATCCATATGCCCAAGTAAGATGTCAAATCAAGGCCTTCACACACATCACTTTATTTACTTCGATAACTTTACATATAATACTAGAATAATGTAGAATACAGCTCAATTCCATTTTTTAGAGCCAAGCAACACTTTAATGTGACCACTTTCTGAATGCCCTTCTGCATTTCAAATTTTCATAGAGAGTTTTGCTACTTACAGAGCCGAGATTTGGTGGTTGTTTAAAACTATTAAAATAGATTAATTATTAAATAGTTTAAACATTTTTAAAGTACTCACACATTTTTAATGACATCTGACCATCCCCTCTGGTGATAAACATGTTAACAACATATCCTATAACAGAGAGTGTTGACATGACTAGCCATAAAGTTTGTGCAGACATTGTCTGATCCTCCATGTAGAAGAACATAGTGATAAAGAGCGCAATACTGCAAATAAAGGGGAAAATGTGGACAAGAATTAAATTCTGGAGAGGATGATAAATAATTATGCATACAACTTTTATTGTTATTATTATTATTATTATTATTAGTGGTCTTATATAGCGTGGTACTCCAGCCCAGGGCTGGGCTCAACGCATTGATTTTATTTGATGAACTGTTTGCAGATTTTCATTTTGCAATTTAAACTAGAAAAGAAAAATTTCTAATCAGGTTGGAGGGTGGAAGAGATTACCTGCTAAGCTGCTGGGTGACATTTGTTGATTCGTTGACAAGGGTTTTGTAATCATGTTTTTGAACATCAACTGAAAAAAAAACAAAACAAAAAAGCAAAGTTGAGTTGTAAACAAATTTGAGGATAAATTTGTAAATCTTTTTTTATGTTATAATATCTAGACCAGTGTTTCCCAACCTATTTTTTGCCATGACCCACCCAAGCCTTTCTAAAATTCTTATTCCCCTTTTTCCCCCCCCCCCCCCCCATGTACCATATACATAGTTTTCAATATTCCGAAAAAGGCAAAGGGTTGTTCACAATGAAGGAACTAAAATAATAGGTTTTAACAAGAAATCACTAGGAAATTGGTGAGGAAATGTGAGTTTTCAAAACTTGCAATGGAGAACTGAAATCGAAGTACGAAATAATTTTAATGAAAGATTTTTTTTGTATTACTTTGTTTATTAGTAATTACTAGTGATAACCTGCCATGTATTGCAATGCCACTCAAAGAAAAAAGTGTTTGTGTTTTAATTACGTTTTTAAAGAAATTTTTAAATAGAAAATATTTTTTGTTTTTCCGTGCATACACAAATAAATTAGAAGGTTTTAGGTTGTGTGAACAGGCCACATACAGCTGTCCACGTGAGAAGCATGGATTTTCAAAATTTAGTCTACACTCTTGTGCGATTGATCCACCCATGCAGCAGCTCTGTTTGAAATTATATTTATATAGCTCACATAATTTTTTTTTTTTAAATTAAGCCTCCGGCCCCCTACGCCAAATTGTAAAATGGTTGTACTAATTCAAACACCTAATTATTATGTCACACAAACTGATATGTTGCTTGTATTTTATTAAATTCCATCCACCCATGCAAAAGCTCTGTTTGAAATTATAGGTGTATAGCTCCTATAAAAAAAAAAAAAATTTGCGGGCTTGCGCACAACAATTTAGCCAAATTTTATCACAATCGGATGAATGGTATAGGAAACCATACGGAAATTATATTTAGCTCATTACAGTATGACATAAAAAAAAAAGAATTTAGGGCCTTGGGCCCAAAATGGAATAATGTTAAATGTGTGTAATAATTCAGAAAAATTTACGGGCGTATGCACAACAACTCATAAAAGTTTTATCGGAGTCGGATGAATGGTATAGGAGCGCATGCGGGACATATATACATACATTAATTTTATATATGTATAAACATAGTTTACCGAATAAAAGATACCCTTTGCGCAACTTTTCAAGGAAGCATCCATCAATCCATCCCTCCCTCTCTCTGTCCATCCATCCATCAATCCCTCCCTCCCTCCATCTATCTATCTATATCATCTATCGATCTGTCTGTCTTTTTGTATGTCTGTTGGTATGTTTGTCTGTCTGTCTGTCCATTTGTATTTTGATTTGTCTGTCTGTCTGGTTGCCTGCCTGCCATCCATCCATCCACCCGACCGTCCGTCCATCTGTTTGTCTATCAATCTATCTATCTATATATCTAGCTATCTATCATCTAAGAAAGTCATATTTGATATATTTGATATTCATGGGTGTAACTGTGTAAAATGTACTTAAGTTTTGTTAACATCGTTGATTTTCTTCATTGGTAAAATGAGAATATAGCATCTATTTTTCAAAACTTTAACATCATTGAATTTAAAGAAATTTTCATCCATGTAAAATTGTACACAACCTATTTCCTAACCCCCATATATATATATATATATATATATATATATATATATATATATATATATATCTGAGAATTTTATTTATTTGTCAAATATATTTTGAGGCGCATCGTGTGCT